AGGGGCTTTTACTTGACTTTTACTAATTATCAGTACAGCCATTTCTAGCACATCAGTCCGACCCGTTGGTGTTCCGTCTTCTGTGCTGCAGTCACATCCATGCTCACCGTACCAAGCAGGAGATGAGTGGAATATCATCTGTTTCTACCCGGCAACGGTTTCAGTATGCGTGTCCTTGTCTAACCGCCGTTTCCAGCAGTCAGGTCATTGTCGCTGAATCTTTCGTCTCAGCGCTATGTGGCATATAAAGGTTAGTTGCTTATCTTTTACAGGACGTTGCAGAACCAACCCCTGCAGACCCTGGCCGTAGTATGGTTTATCTAGGCAAATTTACGCCCATTAGATTGCCATTGCTCTAGACGGTCGGCTCCCGGATACCACTGTGGAAACAAACGCAAGGCGCATGGCCCGGAGCTGGGATCGAACCCGGCACCCTGGCATTACGAAGCGTTTGCATCGACTTAGCCACAGAGCCGACTTGTGGCATATAGCTACCTTTAATTCTCAGTACACACACACGCGCACACACACACACACACATATATATATATATATATATATATATATATATATGTATATATATATGTATATATATATATATATATATATATATATATATATATATATATATATATATATATATATATATATATATACTGCACGATTTATTGCCTGGAATATCTCGCTGATTTCGGCAGGTGCAAACTACTGTAACAAAACAAAAACAAAAAGCAGACAAGTGAATCTGCTATGACTGAAGTACAAATTTAACCAAACTCAAGTTCTTTGTTAAAATTTACAAAAGTAGGTAGGTAGTTGTACCCCACCAGGACATCACACAAGCGATAAACACCCGGTTTATCCATGCGGATAAGGATCACCCGTGGAGAGGTCCCAGAAACCCTTTTCATCCGTTAAGGCCACCTCTATGGCTAGGCCATATTTATGACCCGGCTATATTTTATACCCGGCTAAGAATGCTTATAATATCTTGGATAGCCAACAAGAGCAGCCAAGAGGTTTTGAAAGAGGCGGGAGCCCGAAGATAACTTATCACAGACATCAGAAGGAGACAGTCATCGTTTTTTGGCCATGTTATGAGAAGAGGAAAAATAGAACATGTTGTTACCACTGGAAAGATCTGTGGAAGGAGGGATAGAGGAAGGCAACGAGAGAAGATTCTTGACAGTCTTGTTAAATGGCATGGAGGTGTGTCGGCACACGAACTGATACATGCTGCAGGAGATCGTGGATTATGGAAAGGCATGATCGCTCACGCCAGTCGGGAAGGCACTTGATGATGATATTCAGCGCCCCCCTGCAAAAGCCTGGGTGGGGCTTCAAAATTTACAACGGGGAAATATTGCTTCGATAAAATGTGTATAATGTGTTTAAAAGTGTCGAAGATCTATGCTAGCAATGATCTTACAAAATCTTCTACTCTTCAGGTCTCGTGCATCATCATAAAACATAAAGTCAAAAGTGAAAAAAAAAAAAAAAAGACACATCAATTCAACTTTGATTTTACGTTGAACCTAACAAAGCTGCACCGTTATTCGCAACCATGATTTTTCAGTACAGAAAACGAAAGTGCATTTATATAGTAGTCATTTTTCTGCCTCCTGCTGTATTAATGCTCCTGTCAATAAATAGTTTAAGCGTTAAAATAAACATTGAAATGATGCAGTCATTGTTTAGTGGTCAGAGGAATGAGATGAGACCGTCATGCATTAACGTGTTAGACAATATGGTCTTGGGAAGTTGGAAGAAAGACAAGCTCAAAGAGGCTGAGATGGCTGCAGTGGTGAACTTCCATAAAAAAATCAGAGCGTATCATGGGATAAACCTGAATTTACAACATAAAGATAATATATGTGGTAAGTTGTTTTTATGGCTATTTACCTTTTTTTTTTAAATGCAACTATTTATGTAATGTCTGTATAGTATATGTTACACTAATGTGGGTTATGCAACTGGATAATGCCTAAATAATGCGTGTTACCCTTGTCAGGTATATGTAACCAGACAAATATTGTATTTACTTGTATATCTTTTGTATGCGTTTGCTTTGTTTATATATGGGTGTATAAAAAAACATGTTATATTGTTATCGTTTGTTTAATGCATTTAACTGAAAAATTGCATATAACACACATTATATTAGCCTCATTTGGTCCATGAGCAAAGCTGAGTAATGCTTACTCAATAAATGTTATATTGGTTTAGTATATGCAGCTGTCGTCGGCTTAGTGGCTAAGTCGATGCGAACGCTTTGTAATGCCGGGATGCCGGGTTCGATCCCAGCTTGTGGCCATGCACTTTGCGTTGGTTTCGACAGTGGTATCAAGAAGGCTAACCGTCCAGAAAGCAATGACAAATTACTGGACGTAAATTTGCCTAGAAAAACCACACAATAGCATAGCATCACAGCCAGGAGCTGTTGGGGTTGGTTCTGTAACGTCCTGTAAAGGATACGCAACCAACCTTATATGCAGCTAGCTATAAAAAGCTTATAGAAAACAAATTATATTAAACAGGTATTGCTTACGAAGCGGCGTCCGTGGCTAAGGCATTGCGAGTCCGACTCGTAAGCCAGCATACCGCGATCGAAACCCACTGCAGACTGCGTGGATTTTTGTCGTGGTATGGGACGTCGCAGGTCGACCCAGCCTAAAATGGGTACCAGGATGGGCTGTCCTGGGAAAGTAAAGACAGCCGGCGTAATGCTGACCACATTACCCACAGAGTGCTGATGGTCTGTAAAAATATGGGACGCTCTGCCCATATGCCCGATGCGCCGAAAGGCGTGAAAAGGGATCTTTACTTTTTTATTTAAATTGCCTATGAAATAAGCTGAATAATATCTACAGAATATACGTTACATTGGATCTCCAAAAGCATGTCGTAAGAGTCGACTAATTAGGAGATTCCTTAGATGTCAGAGTGAATCTGTCTGAGGGGCAAAGAACCAGTAGTCTGCATACAAATAAGTGGGATATGTAAAATGGATATGCACTCAACACTCAGATTCTGGAATAGTACTAGAGTCCAGAAGTAGACGAACAACTAGAGCTGTGGGCATGTGGGTGTGAATTGAGTGGGTTTTTGTAATCGTTACAATTTAGTGATCAACTGTGTTTAAAGAATATATTTATGAGCATAGCTCATAGCGAGAAAACAACACAATGGGGATTGGGGGGGGGATTGGGGGGGGGGGGGGGGGCTATTTACTGCCTACGCAATTGAAACCCTATAAAAGGATAACGATAAACCAAAATATTCAGTTTATTTTCAAGCGGTCACATATAGCGTATTTATCGATATACGGAATATTGCTGTTGGCCGATTGCAGGCAGGATAAAGTCAAAGTCAGTTTGCCAGGCATGTAAATGTGCATCAGTCGACTTTGGCATCGGTTCTAAGCCACTGGTTCATTTGAAGACTGACATCGCGGTGGACGACCCAAACTGACAACCGTAGCGGAGCATCGCCTTATTCGGCTATGTCACCTCAGAGGCAGGTTTTCAACAGCTTCCTTAACCACGCAGGCATTGCCTCCAGGACGTCATGTGTCTGACTGCATGAGGGTGGACTTTGGGCATGACGACCATACCAAGAACCTGTCCTTACGCGTCGCCCATAGAGACATTATATTGAAATTGTATGTTTCTTTCAGTAGCTATGCGTTTCTTTTCTTTCTTTTGTGTGTGTGTGTGTGTTTGTTTGTTTGTGTGTGTGTGTGGACAGTATTTAAAATTCAAATAAAATCTTGAGGTCATGCATTTTCCCGTTTCAACTTACGGTTGTGAATCACTGAAGAAAAAGATTGGAGCTTTTGAATTAAAATAGTAAAAGTAAAGATCCCTTTTCACGCCCTAAGGCGTATCGAGTATTTGGAAAGAGCGCCCATTTTGTACAGACCATCAGCACTAGGTGGGTAATGTAGTCAGCATTACGCCTGCCGTCTTTACTTCCACAGGACAGCCATCCTGGGTACCCATTTAAGCCTGGGTCGACCTGCGACGCCTCATACTATGATAAAAATCCCAGCAGTGAGTTTCGATTGCAGTACGTTGAAATTACGAGTCGGACTTGCCTAAGCCACAGACACCATTTTGAATTTAAATGTTAGAGAAAAATTTTAAGAATACCATAAATCAAGAAGAGGACATTCTACACCAGTTAAACATCAAGGAGAAAAAACAAACAGAGTCCTGTCCCGAAAGTTGAAGTATTTTAGCCACGTCAAACACCAGGGTGGCTTGAAAATGCTGATGGAGAGTGCAGTTAGTGAAAAGCGAAGTAGGGGTCGACCTCCGCGAAGATAAATAAGGACATTGACGATGCGTTGGCACTGAAAGCGGATGAGGCTGGAGAGCTGGCTAGGGAAAGGGTACTTTCAGGAGTGCCGTGAGGAGAGCCACGTTCTGTAAAGGACTTGTGATTGATGAAATAAGTTTACGAGAATAGGTGCGACTGTAAAAACATTTTCTTGGAGAGTAAAAAATATGTTAGTTTTTATAATATGCTCTACATGACCACCACTGTTTTAAAAACATATTTCTAAGCGTGTCCTTCACTGTTGAAGAATTCGTATAAGAATAACTAGTGTCTTCTTTTTATGGAGTTTGGTGATGTCCCCCCCCCCCCTCCAACTTTTTTCTTCCTACCTATAGAAGTCTATGGGGCAACCCGTGTGTGTGTTCATGTCGGCGTCTGTGGCTAAGGCGTTGCGAACGTGCTTCGTAATGCGGGGGGTGCCGGGTTTGATCCCAACTGCGGACCGTTCGTGTTGCGTTGGTTTCGACAATGGCACCGAGAACTACGGTTTAAAAAGACATCAACAGCCACACACACACACAAAACAATTCTGGGGTAGGTTCTGCAACATCCTGTGAAGGATTTACAACTAACTTTTATGTACATGCTTGCACCTCTAAAAACTTGCGGTAGAATTATTCATTTTAATGAATATTTGTTGTTGTATTTACCTTATGTAGGAAATGTAATGCATGGTGCAACAAACAGAGGCATTACCCAGTTCAGAGCCCTTTGTGATCCCAACGGTAGCACGCCGTGTTGTTTTGAAAACAAATGTGTATTCAAGGCCATCGAGCAATGCAGATGTAAGAACTGTTACGATCTGCGGCAGAAATTGCACGCAGAGTTATATACATGGATTCCGGCCGAGCCAACATGTAAGGTTAGTGTCATCTATTAGATATCAGAAGTTCAAGTATATATTTATACATTGTAGTGTTCTGTAACTTATTTTAACACCCCATGGTCCACTGAAACAAAACACATTGTTTCGCAGCCGACCTGATAGTTGACCAAATATAGAAACAAAAATAAGTGTAGATAGCAGTTTGTTTATTAAATCCAATGTCACAAAATTACAATTTTTGAAATCTGCTGCTGCTTAGAAGTTAGATAATCTTGTATAGGTGGTTGGAGCACGGTTTCTGTTAGACGAAGCGCAGCAGTAACATCCATCCATTTTCTTTAAAAAAAAAAAGATTAATTTTGCTGAGGCAGTCTTTTCCTGCAAATAGGAAGTCAAAGGTGCCCCCGGCAAAAGCCAGGGTGGGGCTTCAAATAATGAAAAATTGCATCCCACGTGGGAACGACAATTTAAAGACATTCTTTTTTTATTGAGTAATATACAAAAATCAGGCAATAATTTCATTTTATGCATGGGCACAAGAGTGGCAAATCAAAGGAACTCAGCTTTTCTTTTTCGCGATGATCAAGTATGTATGATCTTGAATACCACTTTTCAGTTGAAATCAGCAGAAATAAACAATTCTTCCATAACTGCAAACATTTCTATATCTCCTTATTGTCCGTGACTCTCCTACCCAGCCTCCGTTTATTTCTCAGTGTAAAAAATATTTGTACAAGTGCTCTGAAAAGAAATGGTAGGTTCGTTTAGAATGCTAATATGTCCTAAAATAATGTTAAATGTTAAATTGGGAATTGACATTACAGCACTCCGTCCCCATCTTCAGCAGCAGATACAGAGTTTGAATTCCGATGACACCAGTAATAGTCCATCTGTATATCTGTCTTGCATTTCCCTTAAATGTTCAGTGTCTTTTAGATTTTCTCGTCACTCCTCGCAGTACCATTTCCCACATGCTGTGATGATCGATTTGTGCAGCCACACTGTTTCCTCGTTGTCAAAGAATAATCACATCTTCTAGCTTATCATGCACCAAGTGGTACAGAACAAGCCATTCTATTTGCCTGCTCGCTTCCAAACACAGCGGCATAACCTGTGGTGAAAATACCCAAAAGATGCATAACTACACGGGATCTCTGAAGAGATGCTCACAACTATGTATAGAACTGGTTCTCAAGCCCTAGGAAGGCTGCAATGACTGTCTTCATTCTGAAACTAGTAAACAATATTTCAAGCAAGCCGATTGGGCATTACAATACGACCATATGTAAGCAACAAGGATTCTTTGTCTTTACATGCAAGAGAGCTTTTTAAAATGTTTATGCTGAATGTTTTGTTGATGACAGAAACATCATTATTAACTAACATGTCTGCAGCTGTATGATTACAGAGTCATTTGTGAATTTAAAAAAAATAAATAAATAACATACAGTGCTAAACTAACGAAACTTGCATCACCCTCAGAAGTTTTTACTCTTGGCTGTAAAGTCAGTAGGTGATATGGTCAACATCTTTCCAGCCAGTGGCGAATTTAGGAATAAGTTTTAAAAAGCTATAGAATAGGGCCTCACAATCTGCAGGGGCCTCGAAAATCCCAAATGCAATTTTCTTTATTATATTTTAAATGCATTAAATAAATTAACCAGTCCCTACCCTCGCCCAGCTGAAATTTTCTAATTAAAAAAAAAAAAAAGATAGCTTGGCGTACGTCATAATCATCCATTGTTATGTTTGGGAAATCAAGGCGGGAATGTTTGAAGGTGTAACTTGAAGCCTTTTAAAGGATTACATAATCATTTCTGTGATTTTGGAAACGCTTTCATTATTTTTGCTTTTAATTAAAGTACAGTATATTTCCATTGCCCATCTATCTAAATTGCGTATATAATTTACCATTTTCTGAGATCATCATAATCATCATAAACCAATTCTGCCGTTAAGCGTCATGGGGAGGAATAATTTGCGATCCAGTGCACGTTGGCTGCCACTGGCTATTGTCATGCCGTGAAGGCGTAGAGTGTCTTTAATGTTGTCGATCCATGTTTTCCGCGGCTGTCCTCTTGCTCTTGTAGTTGATCTTCTGAAATGTAGTGCTTGTGATGGTATTTGATCTTGCTGCATTCTAACGAGATGGCCAAACCACTTGATCTGCTGTTTCTCGATGAATCTAGTACAAGGTGTCGTTCCCACAATTTGCCTGATAGTTTCATTATTCACTCGATCTCGTATGGTTAGGTTGGCTGCTTTTCTCAGGCACCTCATCTCGCAGGTTGTAATTTTGCGTATATGGGCTTTAGATAGTGTCCATTTAGCGAGGGATGGGCTTTATGTCTTTATATAAAGTATAGTGCCCTATCAAGGCTTAATCCAGCCCTTCAGTATAAGAGATCCAGCACCCTGCTTGGACGCCTTTGACAGAAGGTATACACCATAACCACAACCTATGCCTTTGTGCAGCCTCCATGGTGGCCCCAAGAAGCAAAACAGGCAGGGAGAGCGAAGCAAGCAGCAGTTAAACAATTGCAGAAAGTGCGTAAGACACTTCACATGTTACAAGAGGATGTAGAGAAGCTAGAAAGAGTTAGTACGAAAAAGAAGAAGAGTTTAAGCGGTGTGCAGCAGATAAAAAAAATGTAAATGGGAAAATTAATGAGCGAAACAGGAAAGGATAAATCACTGAATAGGTTTTGGAAACTTCATAGACAGATGCAAAGGAAGGATCAACCTATCACAACAGGTAATATATACACTGATAATGGTATGCCAGTGACAACAGGCAACAAGAAAGGGGAAGAATATTTGGAGACATTTATAGCCCAAACTGATCATAATGACAGGAAACTTAGAAATTAAGCTAGAGATAATATGTTTAATACTACAAATGATAATTATTCTCAGAATATCATTAGGGTGGAGGATATAAACTATAGACTGCAAAACGCAAAAGATACTTTGTAAACGCCATCAGGAGTCAGGTATGCCCAAATAAAGATCATGAGTAACGAAAACTTGAGGGAGATGGCTTATCACTTTAACCAGAGCATCAGAACGGCTCTAATACCCCAGGATTGGGTACACAGCTACATAATCCCACTTCTAAAACCAAACAAAGATCATTTCAGACTCAGCAGTTTCAGGATTATCACCCTACAAAATACTTTTAGCAAGGTCCTAGAGAAGATTATTGCTGTTACATTACAAATGTTTTTGGAAAGGAAAAAGCTCCTGCCTAAAGGTTTGGGTAGTTACCGGCCGAAGGAAGATACTTGGTCAAATGCAGCTAATTTTGCTCTTGATGTTTATAAGGGCTTCCAGAATAGACAGGAGACCGTAGTGGCATCGCTTGATCTTGAGGATGCCTACAATACAGTTAGGTATGATGTTTGATATCTGCGCTCGCCGAGAATGGACTGTGCCCCTGACTGGTGAATAGGATAGCAAGGGACAGGCTAGACGGGTTTACAACCAGACAGCTAATGGTAACTTCGGAACTGGAACTCTTCGCTTGCTGATGAAAATGGGGAGGAGCACTTATGGGAGTGTTATGGGAGTTTTATAATTTGTCCACACCACTTTGTGGACTCCTTTCTCTGCTTAATCCCAGTGATACATCTGTGTGAAACCCTTTTGATGTTTTATTATGTTTGTTTCTCTGAAGCTAATAATTCACATCTAATGTTTTATTATGTTTCCCCTTAAGATAATAATTCACATCTGATGTTTTGTTATGTTTCCCTGAAGCTAACATTTCATATCTGATGTTTTATTATGTCCCTGTTCCTGTAGCTAATATTTCACATATAATGTTTATTAAATTTCCCCTAAAGCTAATAATTTACATCTGATGTTTTGTTGTGTTTCCCCGAAGCTAACATTTCACATCTGACTGATGTTTTATTACGTTTGTGTTCCTGAAGCTAATATTTCACATCTGATGTTTTATTTTCTCACGTTTGTGTGGTGCTATTCTTTCACGTTTGAATTTTGGGCAAGTTTTTTCTAGTGCTATTCAATCACATTAGATGTTTGAACCATTATATAACTTAAATTTCCAGATTACCATGTTTGCTGGAGAAGAGGATTCCTGCAAAGTTATGAAGGATATGACGATTTATTTCATAGGAGACTCCTTTATACGGCAGCTTTTCATCGCCGTACTCAGTTTATTGCGAAAAAATAAGCCGTACGGTCCATTGATCAACGGAACACCTGCAGGTAAATATTAAATCTTAAGTTGTGAATAGAACTGAAAGTCATAAATCTACATCATAGTTTAAAACTCTTATGGACTCTAAAGTTGACTGAGTCCTAAATGGATGCCATAAGCTGTGGCAAGTTATAAAAATCTTTTACAATGGGAGATTCGAACTCAGGTCGGTCGAAAACGGTAGGCCCGAAACGAGGACATTTCCACAATTTCTTCATCCGAAATGAGGACACTTCTATATTTTCATCTGCTAAAATGAGGACAAATTAACTAACATTCAATTCTATTTAAACTGTGACTTGACTTTTGTTGTTACTTTCTCTCATTAGTTCATTGAGCATGGATTAAAGAATTGTGTGAGTGTATCGAAACACTGGAATATCTGAGAACTCTGTTATCTTTATGCTTTCAGAGTCCATGCAACTACTCCACACAATGTCCACAATTAGACGAACAACCAGAGCTTTCCGCCAAAGTTTACAGCCTCTGAACGAGTAGTAGTAGTAGTAGTAGTAGTAGTAGTAGTAGTAGTAGTAGTAGTAGTAGTAGTAGTAGTAGTAGTAGTAGTAATAGTAATAGTAGTAGTAGTAGTAGTAGTAGTAGTAGTAGTAGTAGTAGTAGTAGTAGTAGTAGTAGAAGAAGAAGAAGAGGTCGTATTAGTAATAGTAGTAGTATTAGCAGCAGCAGAAGTTGTAGTAGTAGAAGTAGCAGTAGTAGTAGACAAGGCAAATAGGTAAATGAAGATAGCGCTTGGTGTAGTTGCTAATTTTGGTTCCTAAAAATAAAAGTCATATACCAAGCAAACGTTTTCGCGTCTAAACAGGAAGTATACGAAATGAACCTATACCAAGAGGAATTATACCACAATACCACTAAATTTTTCGGGGGAATTGCCCCCCCTTCCCTATTGAAATACACCTTCCAGTGCTTGCCATATTGATTGTCTTTTGGCATCATTTTGTATCATTTTCATGATCACAATCCTGAGAAAGAAAGGAAATTACGCTTTTTACGCACCAGGCATATCTTCTTCTTCTTCAGCATTCCGAGCCCTTGAGGTTCATTGCTGCACATATCACCCGCCTTCATTCATCTCTCTGGTTGGCCTTCTCTTTCCAGTTGGTGGCACCAAGTGTTTGCAGGTTTGTCTGGATATCATCTCTCCATCTTCTTCTTGGTCTGCCTCTTAGTCTACGACCATTCATTTCCTTGGTGTATACAGTTTTACATCTCTGTCATCTAACATTTTTTTAGTATGCTCCAACCATTTAAGTTAAATAGTTCTCATGATGCCAGTGATCAATGGTGTTTTAAACAGATGATAAATTTCGATTTTGCTTCTCATTCTTTATCCCTCACTGTTTGCATCTTTGATAGGTCCAAAGATTCGTCGTAAGACTCTGTTTTCGGAAACTTGAAATAAGGCTTTATCTCTTTTAGTTGTGCTACAAGTTTCAAAGCCATATAACACGACTGGTCTTATCAACGTTTTATATATATTTTGATCTTGGTGTTGCGAGACAGATACTTTGACTTTAGCAGATGTTGAAGAGCATAGTATACTCTATTTGCAGATTGTATTCTAGATTGTAATTCTTCTCTCAGCATGTTGGAGCAGTTAAAGTTTGCACCCAAGTACTTATTTGTTTCTTTTCGTTTGATTATCATATTTACGCCTTGTATATGGCCAGAGTTTATATCCTTTCCCTGTCTAGTAATTATCAAGAATTCTGTCTCATCTTGACTGATAACTGAGCTGATTCTTTTAAGACAGCCAGTGTTTTAACAGTCTCTAGTTCATTTTCTCCAACGATATCAATGTCATCAGCATATCCAAGTACTCTTGTAGTTTCTCCTATAGTACCCTCTTGTTTCAATTTCCTTATAATTTTCTCTAGGGCCAAGCTGAAAAGAAGTGGAGACAAAGCATCGACTTTTGCTTTAAACCAGATGCTATTTGAAAAGGGTCTGACTTTCTGCTTTTATATATTACTATATTACAAGAGTCTTCCATGCATAGTTTGGTCATGCTAATTAAGGTTTTTTCTTTGGTATTCCAAAGTCCTTTATAGCATTCCATAAACTGTTTGAATAAACACTATCATACACCTTTTTAAAATCCACAAAAACTTTGTGTACACCTTTTCTATATTCCCAATTTTGCTCTGCTATTTGCTGTAAAATGAATTTCTGATCTATTGTTGATCTGTTCTGTCTGAAACTCGCTTGCCGATCTTCTAATATGTCTTCGAGGGATGGTTTAAGCCTGTAAAGCAGTACCGGCTATAGTATCTTACAGCTTGTAGATAACAGGATATTCCTCTATAATTTTCAAACTTATGATTGTCTCATTTCTTAAAAATTGGTGTTAATAAAGACACTTTCCATTCATGGTGGTAATTTTTCTGTCTTCCAAACTAGTTTTATTAATTCACATATCTTTACCTGTAATGCATGACCACCTTCTTTTAAAAGTTCAGCTGCAATTCCATCAGCACCAGTTGCTTTATTATTTTTAAGCCGTGTTGTGACATACAGCACTTCTTCAAAATCAGGCTCTTTAATATTTGGTTCACATATTAATATCTCTTCCAATGGATAAGTATTATGTGTGGTTTCACACTTTAACATTTCAGCAAATTATTCCTTCCATCTGTTACATATGTCCTCATTATTATTTATCATGTTCCCATTGTGATCTTTTAAACTATTAATGCTTTGTTGATGTCATCGTTTTACTGTCTTCGGTTCTTTAAAAAAGTTTCTGGTTTCTTTTTTCTGATGGATAGCTTCCATATCCGGGACAATGTTGTTCATGTATACTCGCTTTTGGTGCCTAACTACTTTTGTAGCTTTTTTACATTCTGTTCTATATTTTTCTTCATTTCGTATATTACTAGTATCATTTAGCGAAATTTGCCTGGCATGTTTTGTCTTACTGACTGCTTCTCCACATTTGGTATCGAAACATATCTTCTTTCTGTCTATAGTGGACACACCAAGACATTCTTCTGCAGTGGTTTGAATTATATTCCTAATATCCATCCAGATTTTGTGGTCTTCCTCTAGCAGAATTTGTTCAATTTCAATTCTATGTTTTAATTTATTTGCTAATTTCTATGATATGGATGTTTCTTGTAATGTTTCTCTATTGTACACTGGATGTGATCTTAGCAATTTGGTGTAGAAGGATCTGTTTAACTTGATTTTTAAATTAGCATCAACCAGGTAAGATTGATTAATATCCATCCATTATCGTTTGAATTAATATGTAGGCTTTCCATGCCGCTACATTTTATAGGTGTTTTCTCCTCCTATTTTTTTTTTTTTTTTTTGCATTGAAATCTCCTAATACAATCAATTTGTCTCGTTTCATAGCTTTATCCGTGATATTCTCAAGGAGATCATAGAAATCTTCTTCAATAGCATCTTCTTTATCTTCCGCACATTAATCATCGTGATATTTTCCCATTTTCCAAGAGGAAGACAGAGACAGATAGCGGATTTTTTTTGCTAGTGTTTCCATCAATCAGGGCTTATGTTATGTCAAGACAACTGTTTTGTTTGTTTTAATTTAAGACTTGATGCGTTTGAGCTACCTACTTTATAACACTAGTAAGTACCAGTGTCTTTGTTAGCGCTGGACATCCCAGACTTTGCCTACGAATTATGATACTGGGATGCATTAGAGAAGACTATCCTTATTTTCCTAGGACGAAAAAAATTGGTTCAATATATCTCTCGCACATGTGTGCTGTTCGAGACCTGCGGATGGTTATGTCAGCTGTGTAAGCCACGAAAAGTTTTGACACTTTTACGCTGCTCTGAGAGACTCCCTCGGTCCGTTTTACCAATTTACCTGAAAGGTTATTTAAATCCTATCCAATCGTTGAAACAGATGGTCTCCTGTCCAAAAATACAACTTCTACTTGTAAATTTTTGAACCTGGCCCTCGTTCTATACCAGTGCTATTCGACTAAGTTTGCTCTCGGGCCAGAATGTTGAAAACGGAGATCGTCGCGGGCCAGTCCCCTGAGCCCACACTACAACTGACATTTTCAATTTTTAGATTTAATACACTCGAAAACTATTAAGCCTAGGCCTTAGCCTATATAAATGAATTCCAGAGAAATTTGACTCAAAAGCTCAACAAAATGGGGAAGCAGAAAAACGGGCACAAAACAACACAACGTTACGTTTCGACCGGGCGGCCTTTTTTAAACATAAGTGAACTACACAAACGTAACAACGAGGAGATGAGAGTATGTAGATCTCTAAGGGGTGACGTTAGCAACGTTTAAAAAAAATGTGGTGTGGAATAAATGAAATAAAAACAAAAAACAAACGATAGCTAACAAATATAGTCACAAAAAATAATAAACAGTAGTATTGTTAATATATAATATAAAACTGGGAATAACAGAAATACAAATGTTAATGGTATATAAATGATACTGACTGATACGAAATAGAATAAAGTAATAATATGAAATAAAAGAAAAGAGAAGAAAATATAATAATTAACATTTAAAATGTCATAAGAGTATAATTATTTAGATGAAGGTATGTTGGATATTGATACCACCTGGACAAAGAACGCCTAGGCTATGGATAAAGCGATTTTCTTAAGCAAGGCGCATTGTATGATCACCAGAGGAAGATTTTAATGCTGTGACAGATATATCATCTTTACCTCTGTGGTCAGAGCTATTAAAATTGAGAGGGATTGGTTTAAGTGTCTTTTTGTCAAAATCGGAGAGGTGTTCCCGTAAACGATCAGCTAGCTTCCTGCCAGTTTCCCCAATGTATGCCTTGCTGCATCGTTTGCAGATAATTGCATAAATTACGCTGCGGGATTCACAAGTAAAAGGTTCCCTAATTTGGAATGAACCTTTGGGAAAATGACCAAGGAAGTCTGGACAACGAAAGGACATGTCTTGCACGTGCTGCGTGAGCATTCAGTAGTCCCAAAACGGAAGTGCTGTGTGGATCGGTGGGAGTCGGCTTC